TGGAGAGTTCTTCTGCCCTCGTTTGAAACTCATCGTCAGTAGGCACCCACCACTAGAGTTCTAGTCCAGGACCTTCCGATTAAGAGGCTACTGTCTCGTTGACTATTAAACCACTGGAATCCTACTCAATGGTTAGCTCTCGCTCCTTACCTTTTAGACCGCACTGGTAACAACTTCTCAGTGGTACTCCAAGGAACTTCTTCCTGCATCCAATCACTAGCGAGCCAATGAATCCCAAAGTAGTAAGAAACAGCTGACTATCTAGTTTTCAATGGTTCTCTAATCGATATCAAATATCTGTGGTCACGCTTTAAAGAACTCAAATCTCCACAAACCAATTGTTAAAAATCTTGAGATTTCTTCGAAGTAGCATAGCAAAAATACAAAAAGAAATTGATTTACAACCAATGATTATCCTTTATACTGTTTGTATAATTCGGTCATTCGGTGTTCATTAAAAAAACACAATGTAGACAGAATAAAAGATGAAAAAACGACAATTGCAGGCATTCAGCTGGTCATTAATTTATTCCCATATATATATATACATAAATTAAATTTGCCTCACTTCACCCAGTCTCTACCTACTATATTTGTTTCATTTTGCTTATGTCCCTTAGTAAACGAAAAAGATTTCCGAGTTGTTGGTCTTATTCCGCTCCCCTCCCCTCCCCTCCCCGTCGAGATTAGCGTTTTGTGTTTAACTCTGTACAAGCTGCTTCAAAAGCCAATATTCTGTTACTAACATAAATGTAGAGGTCATAAGTTCAGTGACAAACAAAAAAATGGCAGAAAATGAGGTGAAAGCAGAGAGATAGAGAGAGGGGAAAAAGGGGCATAGAGAGAGAGAGAGACAGAGCGGTACACACACACTCACACACACACACACACCACAAAACTGTCGTTGTAAATATTTCACTCTTTTTTTATTATTTTAATTGAAAAAGATTACTTAAAAGACCGCCTCTTATTTTTCTTCTGCCTATTTCTACTTTACCCTAATTCTTCTGCTATTTTGCATGTTTCTTTTTTACACACATAGTGGGACAGGAAAGTGGATTAAGTACTGTAGAAATTCACAAAGCAATAGTATGTCAGTGTTTTTCATTGTGGCCATTTATCTTTCTTATGTCACGTCATGCGGTTCGGTTAATCACCATCCCTTTGTTTCAAGTCTAAGTGATAACTGTGTGTGATTGTGTTTTCTTTTTACATATCTATAGGAAGGTATGACCTTTTATGACCTTTTTTTAAATACATATTTATCTGTCATCTTTGATCTTCACCCAGTTGTCATCTGTTGTCGTCTTCTCCTACTGTAGGTATTATAGCATGGTGAATTAATTTCAATATTTCAGTGGAATACAGATATTTGTTAAATGTTGCTTTGCAGGGCTTTGGTTGGTTACAGTTTTCATCACAAGTTGAAATCAATTAGGGAATTATTGGAAAACTAGCTAGGAGTCCTAGACACCCAGCCCTTTCGTCCAAGTTCAACACTCTTCAGTGGTCCGCACTCACCGCCAGGGTTCAAACCCAGGACTTTCAAGTTACAAGGCGGGCTGGTAGACCATTCAGCCTCTGGAACCCAAGCCAATGGTCCATGAATTCGGCAAAGGTCAACAATAGCGTCCCAGGAGAGCGAACTCACGAGTGACTTTCACCTGACCAATCATAAAAATGAGGAATATTTGCTCAAAAAATCATGTATATTGATAAGGATACTCCTGAAAACGCATTAAACAGGTTATCTTTCTCTGACATTGATATATATATCCATATAATATGTGTGTTTTGTTTGACAGTCTGACCTTGGTGATATATATCCATATAATATGTGTGTTTGTTTGACAGTCTGTATATTTGCTATGTATATATGGATCGATATTCCATTATAATTAGCCAGTCATGTTAAGACTGTCTATTGATTTGTTCATTTTGAATATTCGCTCTCACACTTGTGTTCACACACTTGTTCGGACATTCATATTTTGCTCTCACACACTTGTGTGACATTGATTCTCCTGGAGTTTTGGAAAATAGAAGTATCATCGCAAACCTAGTGGTCTTCTGATTTCCGTCTTTCTTGCGTCAGGAGTAATAAATTCTCTACCAGTACATAACAGACATGGCTTAAAAATACGTCCTAGTTACAACGAGGAGTATCAGTCGCTTAGCTAGACTAGCTTCTGTACATGTATTCACCGAGATGACTACTCACAGATAAACTGTTTTTGTGAATCGTTTATCTCTCTCATTCTGCTCTCAGTCTTCAAAAAAAGCCCTGGGTTGAACTGTTATCGCTTCCAGTAAGAGTATAGATGACTACTTACCGGGAAAACGTGGAAAACAAGACAAAAAAAATAAAATAAATGACATCAACTATAAATCTATTCCTAATCGTAACCAAAGCCTGATCCTGACTTTAACCCTAATCATAACCCTTATCCAAACCGTAATTCTAACCCAAATGCTTATTATAACTTTGATCCTAACCCGAACCTCAGTACTTACCTTAGCCCTAATTCTAACCCTAACTATCTATTAACACATAGTCCAAAGAGTACATGAAAACGTGATCTGGGTGAAATTTGCTCTTAATTTGGTGAATAGCGTCGATATTTCAGCAGTGATAATGACAGATGCCATTAGCCAACGACTAGCATGCATTCATGGTTATTGGAGCGTTCACACTCCAGGGACGCTATTGTTGAACTTCGCCATGAATTCCATTTTCTGCCAATCCGTGATGTATATATATAAATATAATAGCTTGTTTCAACACGGTTCTTTTTGATACAAGTATGGAATTTTCGGCAAGTGATATCGGTAGCCAAATTTAGCCGGCCGACCACTGATATCAGGTATGGATCGGCCGAAGATCAAACCACTGAATATATGCATGATCGGTGAGCGTCCCAACTGCTATTCAACTGAAGTAATCACCAGCAAATGGCACGAGTGAGTAACCGTCCTCTTGTCTGATTTTATGGACCGTGATGGTCACGAAATCACACTAGAACCCTCAGATAACTTCCTGCATAGTAAGGAAGTAGTAATTATCAGGGACTTGATTGCTTACTGGATCAATGAATTGAGTGATTACCTTTTCAAGTAAATCTAATATCAAATCTCATTGGTAAATATGCATGGACGACAGGATTATTATCAATATGCTTCAGTAATGTTCAACTGGTTTTAGTAGGTGAATGAACAGGTGTTTCATTCATCACACTGAGGCAAATGTTCAGACAAACAGCACACTTGGCAAAAAAGAAACACAATCTCTAATTCTATTTGATTCAGAGACAGTTTTACATGCGCTGACATCCTTAAGAATTTCATGAAGGTTCAACCTTGGCTGGTTCGACAATGAAGACTAAACATAGTCAGCAACAAGGATCTGTAGTAGTATTTATTACTTTAAGTATCTATGTAGAAGGAAGGGGAGATAAAGTGCACTTAAGTAGTTGAGATATTTGGGTGAAATCACACACACACACCACGACCTCACTTTGGCATGTGTTATAGGTTAATATATCTAGGAAAGATGATGTGATGAGGAAATGAAGATATTGGTCAACTGTGGAGCTAAATGGAAGAAGGATGGTAGAGAACTATACGGAGTGAAGATGGCGAGCCGAAGTCTCATGGATAATAATAACAATATTAGTAGTAATAAACATTTGGCTGAGATCAGTAATCATTAGGAAATGTATCCAGAGACTTTAAACCTATGAAAACACTGATATATTAATAACATATCAGAACAGAAGTAGCGAAATAACGAGTACCGGTCAACGGTATTAGTATACTGGTTACAGGATTTTATCAAGAATTGACATCCGTCAGAGAACCGTCGGTAAACCTGAGAATACTGGACAGCTATTTCGTCCTGATTTGGACCTCATAGGCAGCATCGCATACCTCACTGATTCGAGCTCAGGACCTTCCCGTTATGAAGCTAGCTCTTAGACCATTAGGCAGTCACTGGGACAAGATCCGATGGCCGGTCCACGAATTTCAACTTGTTCTAATTCATGATATGGCGTGACCATAAGACAATGCCACCAGCGACGTTTTGTCTTCACGGTCGACCTCTTGTACTCTACTGGTAACAAATTCCCAATAGAACCCACTCGCTAGTAAGTATTTCATTGATATCCAAGTATTAGTATTCATATCCGACTCCTTGGATCGGCGTCCCAGTGGCTTAATGGTCTACGAGGTCGCCATGTAGCCAGAAGGCCTGGGTTCGAACCCTGGCAGTGGGTGCGTTCTGTCGAAGAGTCCCAAACTAGTGTGAAACAGCTGTCCAGTACTCACATGCTTTCCAGTGGTTCTCTAACCAATCAATCAAATCTCTATAAACCAATATTTGAGGATTAGTCTATTTTAGTTGTCTTCTGAAAGTGTAAGTGAGCATTCTTTTTGTTATTTTACGAAAAACCAAAACTTTAGAAATAATTACATAACAATCATAAGGATACCAATGAAAGATAGTCACATTTCACGTCCATCTAATGTATTACTGGGATTGACTGTGGGCCTAACAATAGAAACACTAATCATAAAAAAGTAATCCGGTCAGGAAGTAATCAAACCACAAAATCAAATTAGCTATAGAAATAGCAGACTTTCACTATCGCATTGATTGGCGGCATTTCTACTTTTCTACTATGTTGTACTAGTCCTGAAGACTAATTCAGTAAACCTTCAGTTTATCATATAATGCACTGACAGTTTTTTTTAAAAAATTTTTGACGTGTTAAAAAGGACATAGGGCTTCAGTAACAGATACTAGCCTCACGCCTTACCTTCCCTCTTTCCTGGACTACTATGGGTTAGTTAAATATTTAAGAAATCGGACTGCTTCACTAAAAAATCAAACCCTAGACCCTCCTTGTAGACTGCTGTTTAACCAACAACGAATGCACAGCGTGAACAGAAAAATAAAATTTGATTAAAAAAATAATCGACATAAACCAATGTAGATTTACCTCGATGTCGACTTGTAGCCTTATCCATCATTAATTCACACGTTTCCACCTGAAAATTAGCAAAAGCAAATAAGAGGTTACATGTAAGAAATGTTTGTAGTCAGAATTGATCGAGTAAATTTTCACACAACTCTGTTCACTAAGTTAATGATGAAATAAAACAGGTAGAAGAGGCGTTTTGTTCAATAACTATCCTATAAAATTCATTAGGAAGACCAAAAAAGGCCAAAATCTAAATTTTAAAAAAATAACTGAGAAACTAATAGTGATAACACAAATAAGAAAGAATATAAATCGTATACTGTTATACTATATAAGGAGGGGACATCTGAGACCGCACGAAGGTTTCTTAAATAAAGCAGGAATTAGGGTGGCATTTAAACCTACAAAGTCACTCAGAGACCAGCTTTGTAGGTTAAATGATCCTGTAGGTTGACCCAATTAAAAAAAATAATATAATTTACAAAATACCTTGCAATAACTCTGAGTTAAGTCAACTACATAGGTCAAACTAGTCGGTCAGGGGTAATCAGATTGTCGGAACATAAGAATTGAGCTAAGGGAAAAATGGTTGACCTCAATCGCAAAGATAAGTAATTTAGAAAAAAGCTCAGCAATTGCACTACATGCGTTTACACAAAACCACACAATAGGGTGAGAGAAGGTTAGGATTATAAGACGTAATCTATGTAGGTGGAGAGAGAGATGGATTACTGAATCCTGCCTGGTTCATTGAGTCTACACCCAACACAACACATGCAACAGAAATAACTCAATGCAAATACCAGAAATATAGAAGATGTTATTACCACCAGTCAGTTAGTCAAATCAGAGGAGGATAATACATGATCTCAAAATTCTATTTCATTTCAAGCACACCACAACATTCTAACAAGTAACTTATTATGACTATAAAAAGCACTCGTCTTATTTCCCATCTGATTGCATCTGATTGACAACACTAATACTATTATTATTCCTGAGTGTATACTATTCTAAATTGATTTTTTTAAATATCTAATCGATTCCACACATGTATATAAATGAAGGAAAAAGTTGTGTGAGTGAGTGACTTGATATGATTACGAGCAGCAATAATTTGTGCTCGAAACTTGGTCATCAGTTAATATTACTGCGTAACACTGTGTAAGTTAACAAAACAAATTCTTATCCATAATTGAGTTATCCTTTACCACTATGGCCAAGTTTTATACTTATATCACTAAATTAACTGTAATCAGATGGAGCAGTGTTGAAGCATTGAATGAAACTGCATTTATCCAGACTAAATATAAGTAATTCTCCCTAACTTGTTTAATCTGAAATAGAATACACAAAATGGTGGGAGCGTTGTGGATGACTTATGAAAGTCACAAAAAGCAGATAAGTGAGTAATTTGCAACGACTGTAACAAATTGGACTAATCAAGCAGGCAAAAAGAAGTCAGGAAGTGAGTGTTCTTAGACAGATGCAACCGTGTGGTTAAAAAATAGTTGATGCTTAAACTAAACTCAGCAGCTGAGACGCGATATTTGCGCCTTTTCCGAAGTTGTGTGAATCACAGTCTTATAGTATATGGAATGATTGAGTACCTCCTAATGATGTAGGCTTGTTGATATATGTGTAAATCTCGGGCACTATGATAGTATATAATTCAATTTTAATTTGTTTATTAGATATATCACGCCATGGAGTTGTACTACCTACTGGACTACGATTTACTGTCCATAATCACATCACAGTTTGGAATTATATGTAGTGAGTGCTATAGATGAACTATTCTCTAGATTTCTTATCTTATTCGGGTCAACAAATCTAGTATTTCAAGGTTTTTGTGCTCCACTAGTCTGGCTGACCCTGTTCTACTACTTTGGCCTATGTTTTTAACCTGACAGTTATTGTAGGCAGACTATTAGATAAACTGTATTGTTTTGTTTAATTGGCTCCATAGGAAGTGATCCTTTAACTGACAAAGTTTCTTTCTAAATTATTTTGTAGGTTTAAATGCTACAGCGATAAGGAATCAAAATCATCAGTAGTAGTTCCTTACAAAGAAGCAACCTTGAAAACCACCTTACGGAGAATTCTTAACAATACAGGCAGGAATAAAAGTGTCTATAATTCAAGCTTTACACAAACTCAAATTAGGAACAAGCTTTGTCACTTAAAGGATCAGTTCTATGGAGCCAATGAGAAAAACCAATTTATGTCATCTAATACCATGCCTACAATGAATGCCAGCTTAAATGAATAAGTAAAAGTAGTAGAACATGGTCAGTGAGTCAGACTGGTCGAAGAAGAAGCCGGCAAAGACACGACTCCAGGTGAACAGCAGCAGCAAGAGCTGCAACATCCAGCGCCAATCATCATCAACGCGAGGGATTTAAAAGAGGTTACTTCATTCACTTATCTGGCAATGAGCATTGTCTCAACTACAGTCAATCGTAAGGGATGAAGATGTCCAATCGAACGAGAATCAGGAAGGCGAGCGAGAAACACACACATTCATCAACCTGAAACCAATCTGGAAATCTTCGTCACCCAGTCAACATGAACAACAAAATTCAGTCGGATTTTCAATACAAACAACGTCAAGTCAGTCAGTTCATCTATATGGATCAGAAACTTGGCGGGTGGGTCACAAAGAATATTTCCAACAGCCTGTTGCAGACCTTTATCAACCAACAACTGTCGTCGCTCTGTACTGAAGATCAGATGGCCGGGCCGGAAAGAATCACCAACAAAAAACTAGGAGAACAAACAAAACAAGAACCAATCGCCCAACAAATATGCAGGAAATGGATTGGAAGTGTCTGATTGGACTCGCTTCTTTTGCATACAAAGAACTGGTTCTTCCAATCGAATCGCAATAGCCTCTACTGTAAGGTGCATGCAGTACGTGGGTGCTTTTGGGAATTCATTTGGTACCCGATAGATGATAGAGAAGGATTCTTCAATGCTGGATGGTTTTGTAGCCGATTTGAACGAGATAGGCTAATATCGACCAGTCGCTGGTTTTCCCTATACCTTTACTTAGCCATACTGGGAGATGTTCCCAGACGAGCACGCGAAATCAAGTTCTTTGAGTAACGGCCAATATAACTCGCTTAACCCCCTAAGCTCAGTTGAATCGGTAGATACAGTTAGAAGTGGCTAGTCTAGGTACTTCATCTTTCAATCGAGAAGTCACCATCGGTTGTGTTCAGCAAGTATTCTTTTGAAAGTATTTTAATGGGCACTTTCAAGTCAAGTGTTTACACGTACTAATCAAGTTTTAGTGATCAGAATATCTCTTAAGCTTAAGCCTCTATTGATCTGCGCTGTTAAATTCTAAACTTTTATGTGTACGCAAATATTGTGAAACTCTTAAGCTTTTTTTCCTAAGTACTTGGTTTGTGTCTAGTATTCTAAAGAGGTAAAAATTAAGCATTCCAAAGTTAGTAGATATCTGTGTATACCATCTGATATTCTAACAGCTGATTTCCAGCAAAACTGATGTCTTAAAATGGTATTTAGATTAAGCGATTTCACAACAGGTATTACTTAAATTATTTTGATTGACCCCCTAGGGTTATTAACATTTAAAGGTGTGTTAAACAACGAAAGTGAGAATATTTCATGTACACTGTCTTTTTTCACTAAAGGTAGGTGTACATTAAAAAAAACAATTTAAAATAATGATTTATGCAAAATGGTTAACTGTATGTTATCCTACAGGCATGATCTTATTTGAGATTTCAGTGGAATTAAACAGTAAGAATGAATTTATGAAAATATTAGAATGCCGAAATTCGAATACGTATGGTAGCAGTGTACCGACAGATGATAAAGGCCGGGAAACATAGTGTTTATTGAGAAAGTTGGGAGATATTTATAGATTTTTATATATATTATTATCATGGGAGAAGCAACATCTTCTGGTTGGTGATTTTCTTGCTGAAGGTTGTTCTGTGTTCTGCTTGTGACCGTTTCTTAGAAAGTTAAGCCATATATCCGCGAATCGTACTTGCACGTGTTAAGTCTGCTGTGATTGGTCGGTGAATTCTTCAAGGTTAAGCTTTGTTATTGTATTTTTCTCATGACCCAGATTTGGGACGTAAATACTAACGTAAATTGTTGTCTACGATTTCAGCTTGCAGACAGCTCTCACCATAATAGTATGTGTGTAATAGGCGAGGTATGAAGGTAAAATAGAGAGTGGAGAAGTCTACCAGACTTCCGTACTAAGACACTGCAATATCAGTCATCAGGTCTTTAGCTCCACTTCTTCTGTGACCTAGGTTTTCAGCTAACCTGCACTCATCAGTATTAGTTTGCCAATCCAGAGTTATTCTAAGGAGTCTGAACATCAATATAAACGTTCTGTTAGACTTTATTGGTCTTTATACCTCCCCAGATAACACAAGGAACTGGAGCCTATCTTAATAACCAAAGTACTTGAGTACCACTTTTCAGGTTACAGAAACACAGTCGATGTAATAGAATTACGTAGATATTTCCACTTTAGCTCGTGGTCTGTAAGGCGTGTTCAGCTGTTTAAACAATGAAAGGTAATTTTGACGACTCGGTAAACGCTTGCATTGATCTCAGATACCGGTGTCGTCCAGTACTGCTGGTTAGCGAGAATCATGTACAGTACTTGATAGTATGTACTATTGATTGATCTATGGAGGAGTAGCTTCATACCACTCCTATCAACTAGTAGTGCTTACTGGTTACTTGATTTTAGTCTTACACTTCATCTGGAAAACTTCTACCGAGAAACATTTCAACTGTCTGCCTAACTCCTCCAGTAGATCCTCTCTAAGGGGATATCTGTAGGTAAGTTGCCTTTCCTCGAAGATAAGTGAATGATAACTGTCGCTGGGTCTCTTGATGATTCAATGTGTAAAAAAGAAGTGCTTGCACGCTAAAACCACACCTTTTGTATTCTAGGATGTTACTAATTTTCATTGGCTGTATGAATAATTGGGTCAAATCGAATCGATCACTAATGACTGCTAAATACTTCGACGATCTTTTATGGCAACGATGTTCTCTTCAAGTGAT